ATTTTGAGCCGATTTTTGAGTCGTGCGACCGATTTGGTGATCGGCCCGATTTTGGCCTTCATCGTGCATCGTGTAGTATACGTGGGGTAACGAGAAGCGATTAACACCTCGAGCAGCTCCCGATCATCAATCGCTCGTGAGCCGCTCACACTGCTCACGCGCAAACACGTAAACGTCGGTGAAAAAGACGGCGCAGCACGGCAGTGCAGCGTGTGATCTGGACACAAGTGATAGAGGCACAACTTGTAGAACTTTGGAAAGCTCATCCGAGCCTTTTCGATGTGGCATCACAAAATTATCACGACCACAACAACCGTGAAAATAGTTGGATCTACACTGCTGCTCATTCACAGCTGCCTGATAATGTTTTTCATTAGCAATTTAGCAAAGTTGATGGTGGTGGTGTGTCTGTGTGAGTGAAAGACAGAGAGAGAGAGAGCGACAGATTTTCTGTTATAACCTTCATGTTATGGAGGCACAGTGTGAGCACTCAGGTCGCATCAGAGCATCGGGCCGTATAGTGTGAGACCCTGCATCGTGACCTACCAACTTCTAACCCCTGCGAGTCAATCGTGCAGTTTGAGCAGGAGCTGAATAACGTGACTGAAAATTGCACAGTGTCTGCCCAGCTTTAGGTGTACTGTCGTCCGAGACTTGCACCGCAGTGTCGGCGTTTGTTTCCCTGTTGGCCATGCTTCTTGTTGTGGTCATCTGTTGTCTTCCGGTATTTTCTCCGTAAGCGACCTTTCATCGACCAATGAGATGAGCGGTAATCTGAATTGTCATACTCGAATTGTCATAAGTGTGCTGTCAGCTCATTGGTCACAAAGCAGGAGAGGGGCTGGGAATTATGCTTTCCAACAAAGCGTTAATTCCATTAACATTTATAGACTACTTTTGATTCTCACTGTATTACGGGACAAAGTGCGTCCCTTATTAGCTCAATACGGGACGTGTGCTTTTGTTTCTAAATACGGGACGATTCCGTATTTTAAGGGACGGTTGGCAACCCTAATATACATATATATACGTATATATACATATATATATATATATATATACATACATACAGTGGGGCAAAAAAGTATTTAGTCAGCCACCGATTGTGCAAGTCCCCCCACCTAAAATGATGAGAGAGGTCAGTAATTTGCACCAGAGGTACACTTCAACTGTGAGAGACAGAATGTGAAAAAAAAATCCATGAATCCACATGGTAGGATTTGTAAAGAATTTATTCGTAAATCAGGGTGGAAAATAAGTATTTGGTCAATAACAAAAATACAACTCAATACTTTGTAACATAACCTTTGTTGGCAATAACAGAGGTCAAACGTTTACTATAGGTCTTTACCAGGTTTGCACACACAGTAGCTGGTATTTTGGCCCATTCCTCCATGCAGATCTTCTCGAGAGCAGTGATGCTTTGGGGCTGTCGCCGAGCAACACGGACTTTCAACTCACGCCACAGATTTTCTATGGGGTTGAGGTCTGGAGACTGGCTAGGCCACTCCAGGACTTTCAAATGCTTCTTACGGAGCCACTCCTTTGTTGCCCGGGCGGTGTGTTTTGGATCATTGTGATGTTGGAAGACCCAGCCTCGTTTCATCTTCAAAGTTCTCACTGATGGAAGGAGGTTTTGGCTCAAAATCTCACGATACATGGCCCCATTCATTCTGTCCTTAACACGGATCAGTCGTCCTGTCCCCTTGGCAGAAAAACAGCCCCATAGCATGATGTTTCCACCCCCATGCTTCACAGTAGGTATGGTGTTCTTGGGATGCAACTCAGTATTCTTCTTCCTCCAAACACGACGAGTTGAGTTTATACCAAAAAGTTCTACTTTGGTTTCATCTGACCACATGACATTCTCCCAATCCTCTGCTGTATCATCCATGTGCTCTCTGGCAAACTTCAGACGGGCCTGGACATGCACTGGCTTCAGCAGCGGAACACGTCTGGCACTGCGGGATTTGATTCCCTGCCGTTGTAGTGTGTTACTGATGGTGACCTTTGTTACTTTGGTCCCAGCTCTCTGCAGGTCATTCACCAGGTCCCCCCGTGTGGTTCTGGGATCTTTGCTCACCGTTCTCATGATCATTTTGACCCCACGGGATGAGATCTTGCGTGGAGCCCCAGATCGAGGGAGATTATCAGTGGTCTTGTATGTCTTCCATTTTCTGATGATTGCTCCCACAGTTGATTTTTTCACACTGTGATGGATGCATGCAACCACACAACTGAGATACTTAGGTAATATTCATGTGATCTTTTGTCTTATGTTTACGTTATGCTCTAAAGCTTCTGTGATCATAAGTTAACTAATTTGATATTTTGAGTTACCTGTAATTAGTGATGGGACGTTCTGTATCGAGGCTTCGGAGTGTGTGTCGAGTAATGGAGGGGGCGTTTCCGCGAAGCGCGTATCGAGGCTTGCTTCATTTATGGGAGGAGCTGAAAATGATGACGTCCGAAGCCTCGCTGCCCGGCTGTACCACGTGACTGGTTCATGAAGTGGTTCGAACTTTGCCGCGAGCTATGACAGCGATATAAACCCCTCAGACTTCATTCAAAAATGTGGGTGTTTGATGGAGAGTTGCGGTTAGTGTGAGTTTGGAGACCGTTTGGAGGTTTATGAGAGTGAGGAGAGAAAGTCTGGAGAGAATGGAGCCAGCTAAGAAGAGGAGGATGTCCTCCCCTGTGAGGGAACATTTTGATCTTATTCCTCCCAACAAGGTATGTAAATTTCTACAGAAGATGTATTTTCATGATACTGATGGTGCAATACAATTTATGTTAAGCTGTCTTTACTTTTGTACAAGGTGAAGTGTTTGCTATGTGCCAGGGAGCTGGGATATAACAACAACACCTCATCCATGCTTAGGCACTACAGAGCTTTGCATGAGAATAAGGGGAACACCGATTGTGGAGCAAGACCAGGTGAGCCATCAAATGCCATGATAATATAGGATGCAGTAATGTTACTAAATGATATAACAATATTATACAACTGTTATAAGTTACGTGTGTGATATTTATATTTGTGCTTTGTCTTTATTGTCTTTCCTCAGGAGAACAATCTCAAATAGATGAAGACCTGGTCAGCATGGTGATTGAGGACTCACAGCCATTTAGCATTGTGGAGGACAAAGGATTCAAAAGACTTGTTAAATCATTAAATCCTAGCTATGTTCTCCCCACTAAAAAGGTCGTAAAAGCAGTGAAAATTTAGTTTTTACAGAATAAAATGTGAACAGGCAGGACTGAGGCTCAAAGCCTCAGTGTGTAGCTGTCCATACCTCAACGTTACAAAAGCACAACTACTGTCCACACCCCAACCACACCTCACCTCACAGTAAATGATCATTTCCATTTCAAGCATTTCCAAATAATCATTTCCCATACTGCCACTATAAATATACACAGTATACTGCCATCACTACAATATACATGTTTTACACACTCCTTTTGTTGTTGACATTTACAGGCTGTGTGCAAAATGCCACACTCTTCAAATTCATGCCAGCTATTATTTTTACGTCCAGTAGGTGTCCTGCTAGAGCAAATGAAGCTTCATGAAGCTTCGCGTTGGGGTGAACCAATTGGATGAAAAGCTTCAGTGCTTCATGGGGCTTCATCTGCCCATCACTACCTGTAATGCATGACAGCACTAAGCTATAGCCCAAATGGTGGCATAGACTTTGCTTTGCATTGTTTGTTATTTTATATAGGTATATGTTATATTGATTATATTTCTGCTCTTTCTGAGTTACCTGACCTCCGCTCCAGTCCTTCCTGGTTTGGCTGAAAGAGGAGGCTGAGGGTGGAGCTGGTTTAAATGCAGAAGCCAATAAAGTGGACTGAACCATCTATTGTGATCATGCAGGGGGAATGGGGTTCTTCTTGAATGATGGTTGGCTGTTATCTCTTTAGTTTTCACCTTTGGTGTATATAATGGTTTATTCATTTGCTATATAACTGGAGCTGTTTCTCATTTGGGCAGGTCAGTTTGTTGAGTTATGTTTTTGTTAAGTGACTTTTGAGTAGCGTTATGTTATGTTAACCTCTTTTACGGGCCCACTTGGTTCTTAAAAACTTTATTTTTGATATCTTGAATTTTTGTAATCATCTTGTCCTTTTTGGGGGTATAATAAAACCCATTTTTTGAAGATTACATTTGTGCCTGTGTGTTCCTGGCTGCTTGGATCATGACAATTGGTGGCAGCAGTGGGATACAGCCAGTTTAAAAAAAAAAAATACACACACAAAAAAGGTACAGTTTTTTTTTTTTCCCCACTCCTTATTAAACCATGCAGTCTAAAAATGTATGTATTTCATCAGGTGCAACTGTTGAGTTTTTTCTGTTTACAAGTTCAGCATATGAACCAACTGTAGGCAACACCTGAAGGTATGTGACAGGTCTATGTGCAAGGACTTGTATTACTCCAGTATTTGATATGCATGGATCACTCTTCATAAGCAATACAAGTAGCTTTAATTTAGCTATGGTTCTCAGCTGATACAGTGTCCCTTCATAACACCACTAATTAGTCAAAAGTGAACAAAAAGACTAATAGAAAATAGTAAGATTTCCGGTTAGATTTCCACAGAAGGACTGCTGTTGCTGTGAGGTAACAGTACTAACCATCGTGCTGCATCTTGTTATTATTCTGGTGTAATATTTTTCATTCTTTGCATCACTGTCTCAGTCACATTTTGATCCCATGTAAATGAATTGCCTCAATTATTTTTCTGAAGTCTAGGTTTGCCTTGTATTTCTTTCATGCAGCTATCCCTGATTTAGTAGAGATCCCTTATCTGGTGGCTCACATTTCAAATTTTAAAACCATAACTGCTACACTTGCATCATAAAAAGGTCATATGGATTGATCACTGCATTTTTCCCAGATTAAAAAACATCATGTGTAAGAGTTTATTTTTTCTTGTGTTGGTACACAGGTACACAGGAAACAAAGCAAAACATGGAGAACAGAAAGTCCCGTCATATAGGTTTTATTTTATTATTTAAAAAGCATATGTACAAAAATGTAAGAAGTTCAAGTCTAGACTATACATATGTTTATATATATATATTAATATATATTAATGTGTATATATATATATATATATATATACACGCGAGGGGAACAAAAATTGCAGAGTAATCATAAAGAATATTGATTGTCTTGTATTTCCGGTGAGACTGAATGAGTCCTTTTAGTTCAACACCAGGTGTCACTTCTGCTGTGCAGTAGGAGTGCAGCGTGTTCGTCACGCAGTGTCTTATTTAGATTGCAGCAGTACTCTGACCAGCAGTCGTGGTGCTTACAGCTCCTTTCTTCCCTTGCCTGAAGAAACAAGTGAGATTATCAGTGACAAGCAACACAGACCTTTAGTTTGTCATCTTCACAGAGTTGTGCGTGCGTGTCATTCTGAATTTGGCTTACTTGTTGTGATTTTTTAGAATGTGTCGTCCAAGTGGGGACTCTGGATTCACACACTTCTTCATGTCTGCTTTTGTGGTAACACTGAAAGATTTTTAAAAAGAGGTGTATTAGGAAGGAACTGGAGAACACAGCAGAATCATACCTCAGGTCATCTTGTGGACTCACATGATCTCTGTATGTGGACAGAAGATACTTGGGTAGTGTATCACTGGCTCAGTCTTGATGAGCTTTGGGCTGATCCTGCCAATGTAACTGTAACACTTGCATTTATTAGATTTGCTGGCTGGTTGTCCTGTGTAGGAAAAGACAAGAGCATTACCTGTTGATCAGCAGCCAAAATATCCATAAACAGGATGAAGGGGAAAAAAGAAACAAAGAAGGAAAAAAAATAAGATTTTCACAGTACCTTGTGCACCTAGGATAAGCAGGCAGGCAACGAAGGCAGTGACTGAGTTCATAGTTGTGGCTGTAGGCAGATCCGCTGTTCACCGTTTCTGTCTTGAGTATGGCTCCTGATGCTGTGAAGCAGTAAGCAGCACGCTTATATACACTGCCTGCACAAAGTGGCCCCACCTCCAAGAGGTGTTTTGCAACATTAATTTCACTTTCCAGAATGCCTTTCACTTTCTTCTTCTTTTTCCCCTCTGCAAAGCCTGTTTCCGAGAATCGCAGCTATTGAAAAAATGCCTACAGAGGGAAATCTTTTAGGTACATAAATGACATTAATAAGACAGCTCATGACAAAAGCAACTATATATTAATTTAAACTGTTTTGTACACTGCTATCCCTTACACTTTAGCTATCACCATAAAGCTTCCAGTTGCATTTTTAATGTGAGATCTGATTTAAAAAATAAAAAAAAAAACAGCAAAAATGATTTTCTCAGCTATGTAGATCTATGTGATTACGCTGACCTCTGACTGTGGCCTTCCACTTTGTCTGTTTAGGTTTTTTCTTTTTTCTTTTTTCTCAAATGTTCTTGTTAGGCTTAAGGATTAAAGAAAACAAATATCCTGCAGAAAGGCTTTCCCCCCTGGTTTTTGTTTTTGGGAGCACTTATGCAAATATGTGATGTCTTGATAAATCAAGCAAATATTTGAAGTTTACACAGCACTATTCTCGCATGAAAATATCTTAAAAGTTTATTTTGTGACCCGGAAAGAGTAATATTTCAAACTCCGCCACTCTGTGTTCCTCCGCCACTGCCTCGTTTGAGTTTTGGACGAAATGGATTCTGGGATATTGCATTTTGTCATTTCGAGCTGATTGGAGACCAAAACAGCCAATCAGATTTTTTTTCATCCAAGTCTGTGATTGGCTGGTTTTGTGGCACAAATATAACGGTGTACAGAAAGAGTTGAGCGCGCACAGGCAGAAATATTGAGAGCACAAGTGCAAAAACTGAGTGACAGGGGCTGCTATTGTGTGTGTATGGATAATAGCAAACACAGAAATACATTTTTTGCACGCAGCAATGAATTTTGTTCACTCAAATTTAGCTTTTCTTCACTTAAAATAAATTTCTCCTCAAATTGCAACACTTACATGTGCAATTTATTTTACGTGGTGGTGTCTATGAACAAGATTGTAAAAGTTTCGAACTAACTCAATAAAAACACAGCAGTTCATGTCAGAAAGCCACTCCAGTTACAAAAATGTATTCACCAGACTGAGATTACCAAATGGTAAATGGACTGGTTCTTATATAGCATTTTTTTACTCTATCTGAACACTCATTCACACAAACACTTTTTTCTATGCTCTTTCATGCTACTACTACTAATTCATCACATACCACAAATGTCAAGCATACGAAACAGAAGGCTTTAAAGTCAGGGTACCTTTATTTAAAGTCACAATAAACATTGTACTTTTGAACTACACAGCGAGTACATAGTAATTCATTAATGTTGTACAATTTTCAGTGTTGACTCTGTGTGTCAGCAAAATAGATTTGAAATAAAACTATTTATACTGTGCACACTCTCAGCTTACATTTAAGGGGGCTGTTGAGAAAGTTTAGCCTATATATTGTGAAATGAAATATCAAGTTAATTCAGAAGCTGTGTATGTGAGCCATTTCTTCATTATCTCTTCATATATATATATACACACACATATATATATGTATATATATATATACATATATATATATACACACACATATATATATGTATATATATATACACACACATATATGCAATACGAATAGGGGCGTAATTTCCAAGGTGGTTTAGGGGGGTTATGACCCACCCCAGTAATTAGACCCAATCAATATAACCCTCCTCAATAAAATTATGAATTATCTTGCATAAATAGGCTGTTGGTTTTCTTTGCTCATTTTAGTTATTACCAGCAAAATAGTTGAAGTTGCATCTTCAAATTGAAAGTCATCTCACTGTCTAAAAATGTATGTATTTCATCAGGTGCAACTGTTGAGTTTTTTCTGTTTACAAGTTCAGCATATGAACCAACTGTAGGCAACACCTGAAGGTATGTGACAGCTCTATGTGCAAGGACTTGTATTACTCCAGTATTTGATATGCATGGATCACTCTTCATAAGCAATACAAGTAGCTTTAATTTAGCTATGGTTCTCAGCTGATACAGTGTCCCTTCATAACACCACTAATTAGTCAAAAGTGAACAAAAAGACTAATAGAAAATAGTAAGATTTCCGGTTAGATTTCCACAGAAGGACTGCTGTTGCTGTGAGGTAACAGTACTAACCATCGTGCTGCATCTTGTTATTATTCTGGTGTAATATTTTTCATTCTTTGCATCACTGTCTCAGTCACATTTTGATCCCATGTAAATGAATTGCCTCAATTATTTTTCTGAAGTCTAGGTTTGCCTTGTATTTCTTTCATGCAGCTATCCCTGATTTAGTAGAGATCCCTTATCTGGTGGCTCACATTTCAAATTTTAAAACCATAACTGCTACACTTGCATCATAAAAAGGTCATATGGATTGATCACTGCATTTTTCCCAGATTAAAAAACATCATGTGTAAGAGTTTAGTTTGTCTTGTGTTGGTACACAGGTACACAGGAAACAAAGCAAAACATGGAGAACAGAAAGTCCCGTCATATAGGTTTTATTTTATTATTTAAAAAGCATATGTACAAAAATGTAAGAAGTTCAAGTCTAGACTATACATATGTTTATATATATATATTAATATATATTAATGTGTATATATATACACGCAAGGGGAACAAAAATTGCAGAGTAATCATAAAGAATATTGATTGTCTTGTATTTCCGGTGAGACTGAATGAGTCCTTTTAGTTCAACACCAGGTGTCACTTCTGCTGTGCAGTAGGAGTGCAGCGTGTTCGTCACGCAGTGTCTTATTTAGATTGCAGCAGTACTCTGACCAGCAGTCGTGGTGCTTACAGCTCCTTTCTTCCCTTGCCTGAAGAAACAAGTGAGATTATCAGTGACAAGCAACACAGACCTTTAGTTTGTCATCTTCACAGAGTTGTGCGTGCGTGTCATTCTGAATTTGGCTTACTTGTTGTGATTTTTTAGAATGTGTCGTCCAAGTGGGGACTCTGGATTCACACACTTCTTCATATCTGCTTTTGTGGTAACACTGAAAGATTTTTAAAAAGAGGTGTATTAGGAAGGAACTGGAGAACACAGCAGAATCATACCTCAGGTCATCTTGTGGACTCACATGATCTCTGTATGTGGACAGAAGATACTTGGGTAGTGTATCACTGGCTCAGTCTTGATGAGCTTTGGGCTGATCCTGCCAATGTAACTGTAACACTTGCATTTATTAGATTTGCTGGCTGGTTGTCCTGTGTAGGAAAAGACAAGAGCATTACCTGTTGATCAGCAGCCAAAATATCCATAAACAGGATGAAGGGAAAAAAGAAACAAAGAAGGAAAAAAAATAGATTTTCACAGTACCTTGTGCACCTAGGATAAGCAGGCAGGCAACGAAGGCAGTGACTGAGTTCATAGTTGTGGCTGTAGGCAGATCCGCTGTTCACCGTTTCTGTCTTGAGTATGGCTCCTGATGCTGTGAAGCAGTAAGCAGCACGCTTATATACACTGCCTGCACAAAGTGGCCCCACCTCCAAGAGGTGTTTTGCAACATTAATTTCACTTTCCAGAATGCCTTTCACTTTCTTCTTCTTTTTCCCCTCTGCAAAGCCTGTTTCCGAGAATCGCAGCTATTGAAAAAATGCCTACAGAGGGAAATCTTTTAGGTATATAAATGACATTAATAAGACAGCTCATGACAAAAGCAACTATATATTAATTTAAACTGTTTTGTACACTGCTATCCCTTACACTTTAGCTATCACCATAAAGCTTCCAGTTGCATTTTTAATGTGAGATCTGATTTAAAAAATAAAAAAAAAACAGCAAAAATGATTTTCTCAGCTATGTAGATCTATGTGATTACGCTGACCTCTGACTGTGGCCTTCCACTTTGTCTGTTTAGGTTTTTTCTTTTTTCTTTTTTCTCAAATGTTCTTGTTAGGCTTAAGGATTAAAGAAAACAAATATCCTGCAGAAAGGCTTTCCCCCCTGGTTTTTGTTTTTGGGAGCACTTATGCAAATATGTGATGTCTTGATAAATCAAGCAAATATTTGAAGTTTACACAGCACTATTCTCGCATGAAAATATCTTAAAAGTTTATTTTGTGACCCGGAAAGAGTAATATTTCAAACTCCGCCACTCTGTGTTCCTCCGCCACTGCCTCGTTTGAGTTTTGGACGAAATGGATTCTGGGATATTGCATTTTGTCATTTCGAGCTGATTGGAGACCAAAACAGCCAATCAGATTTTTTTTCATCCAAGTCTGTGATTGGCTGGTTTTGTGGCACAAATATAACGGTGTACAGAAAGAGTTGAGCGCGCACAGGCAGAAATATTGAGAGCACAAGTGCAAAAACTGAGTGACAGGGGCTGCTATTGTGTGTGTATGGATAATAGCAAACACAGAAATACATTTTTTGCACGCAGCAATGAATTTTGTTCACTCAAATTTAGCTTTTCTTCACTTAAAATAAATTTCTCCTCAAATTGCAACACTTACATGTGCAATTTATTTTACGTGGTGGTGTCTATGAACAAGATTGTAAAAGTTTCGAACTAACTCAATAAAAACACAGCAGTTCATGTCAGAAAGCCACTCCAGTTACAAAAATGTATTCACCAGACTGAGATTACCAAATGGTAAATGGACTGGTTCTTATATAGCATTTTTTTACTCTATCTGAACACTCATTCACACAAACACTTTTTTCTATGCTCTTTCATGCTACTACTACTAATTCATCACATACCACAAATGTCAAGCATACGAAACAGAAGGCTTTAAAGTCAGGGTACCTTTATTTAAAGTCACAATAAACATTGTACTTTTGAACTACACAGCGAGTACATAGTAATTCATTAATGTTGTACAATTTTCAGTGTTGACTCTGTGTGTCAGCAAAATAGATTTGAAATAAAACTATTTATACTGTGCA